TTGTTCCCTATCATCGTTTACCCTAATTTTTTCTTACTTTAACAACTAAAACTTATCCCTAAGACGGGGACTTATTAAAAACAATCGTCCTACTCTAACTCGTGGACCAATGAATTGGAAAAAATTTCGATCCTTGCTTGATGAAAAACTTTCCGTCCCAAAAAACACCAGGAGAACTAGAAAACGCGGTTGATCTACTTATAAAAACAGTACAAAATACAGCGTGGGAATCTTCATCTTCCTCACACTCAAAAAGAAAATCTTCCAAATTAACCTTTCTACATAAGGCAATTAATATCCGAAAAAAGACGGCTAGAAACTTTGGCAACGTACTAGATCAGTCTTTGACACACACAATTACAACAAACTTTTGAATACATTGAAAAAAGAAATAAAACAATTTAAACAACAATCATACGAAACACATTTAAAAAGCTTGTCAACAGAGGATGGGAGCCTCTGGCGTAGTACTAAACGTATCCTGAATCATAGCGTTGTCTCAGTTGGATCGTTTCCGATAAAGAAAAGTCCAAAACATTTGCGAAGCATCTCTCCGAGGTATTCAAACCTCATAACTTAATGAATACTGAACAACGATAAATTTATATCAGATTCACGTGTGACACCTATACCTCTAGATCTGCCACCTAAACCAATAACTCCAAGACAAGTAACACAAGAAATACGACAGCTTCCTAAAAAACATCACCTACTCATGATCTAATAACAGCTGAAGTTCTTCAAGAACTTCCCAAAAAAGCAGTTGTCTTTCAGACTTCTTTATTTAACGCAGTTTTGAGGACTACACACTTTCCCATTCAATGGAAACTTTGTTACATTAAAATGATCCCAAAGCCCCATAAAAATTTAAGCGCCCCCTCAGCTATCGTCCTATTTTACCCGTCCCTTCTAAATTATTCGAAAAATTAATTTATAGAAACTATCTCTATTGCTACTTCGAACAACATCTTATCAATTTGACTTTCGAACCCATCATTCCACCACTCATCAACTTCACAGAGTGACAGATTTCAGTACTTTGTGTCTCGAGCCGAAACTGTACGCGACTGGAGTGTTTCTAGATGTTTCTCAGGCCTTCGACAAAGTATGGCATGAGGGATTATTGTTCAAATTAAAATTATTTTTACTCCAGGCCTATTAGCTGATTATACAATCATACCTTAAAGAGAGATTTTTTGCAGTAAACCAGGGTAGGGAGACTTGTGGGATGGAAGAAGTGCTTGCAGGTGTGCCACAAGAGTCAATACTCGCTCCGCTGTTGTACACAATTTTTACTTCTGATATGCCCACAAATGAGAATATTCTTACCGCCATATGCAGATGACACCGCCATATTAACACGTCATCCCTCTTCTACACAAGCTTCACTCATGTTACAAAACAACATATCGACAATTGAAAAATGGAGCAATCTTTGGAAAATAAAGTTTAATCCCTAAAAGTTACAACATATGACCTTTACACTCCGTCGTGAGACTAGTCCTGGCATATACTTATACAATGAACCTGTTCCTCAATCCGACAAAGTTAATTATTTAGGACTTACATTTGATAGAAGATTAACTTGGAATCCATACACAAGATTAAAAAAACAGACACTCAACAAACGATTTAAAACTCTTTATTACCTACTCAACAGACTGTCAAAATTACCATTAAAATCAAAACTTTCGACATACACATATCTACTCAAACCTATTTGGATGTACGGTGCCAAGTTTATGGATCGGCCAAATATTCCAATATTCAAAGATTACAAAGTTTTCAATCCAAAATTTTAAGGCTAATTGTTTCTGCCCCTTTTTACGTAAACACACTTCACAGAGATCTTCAAATGCCAATAGTTTTTTCATCCATCAAAACATATTACAGACGTTTTCATAGTAAATTACAAAATCACACTAACACACAAATACGATTACTCCATTCCGCACAATTACCACGTAAACGTCTGAAAAGAATATGGATAAGAGACCTCTTAAATGATTAATCCAGAGCGGCTGCCAATGGGGTAGCTTTCTCTATAACGCCCGTAATGCCACAAACACAAATTATCCAATCTGCTGGTTGTATATTACATGTACAGTTGTAGATACAAATAAATGAAGTCAATTTTTTTTATTAAGAACAAATATTAGAGATTTGAACTTTTGTTTCAAAGGGTGGCGTAAGGTTCTGACTTTTTGACTGGAAGGGTCAATTTTTGTTTTTCCAGGTTAAAAAAACCAATTGATTTTCTCGAGATTAAAATAAGTTCGAATAATTTACGGGAAGGAGTCTTGGCTCATTTTTCCATTCGTAAGCTATTTTTAGTTTGATTTATTAATAACACAACTTCAATCTTGACCTAGGAACCTAACGGTTTGATTCTTAAATAGGCCAATTTTCGTTTTCTCAGAAAAATCAGGCATTATGACAGTTATCCGTGATCTATGAAACTGGTTAGATGTTAAATATTTATATCTCAGACAATGTGTAGATGACAGACGAGATATTTAAGTTCGCCAATTGAAAACATTCACTTCTTTCAAGGAACATTACAGTAAATCAGGACTAAAAGGGACGTTCTTATATTAACTTGCTTATTTATTTTATTTTATATTTGTCATATTGAAGTTCTGTTGCACAATTTTTTTGTCATTTATTATTTTTGCATTTCATAAGGTACAATTTTATAAATGAGATTTAAAACTTAAACCTTGTTTTTGCAATTACATACACAGTTTTTTTAATCAACAACTAATTATTTATTATAGTTGTAACAATGTATTAATGTTAAAATATTTTTTATTGTAATGAATACTAGCCGACAAAATGTAAAACGTTTTATTAGTAGCACCAATTTTTCTTTTGGTATGAATATAATGTATGCAAACATCACCAACTGGTGTTTTGGTTGTCTAGTTAAAAACTTTTACTTCACGATATATCTATGAAATAAACAAAACCCAGATCAAACAGAGTTTGTAAAACTTAATCTCTATTCAGTATATTATTTGAGTTTTTATTGTCTGCACAGTCAGGCTAAAACGTTTATGTTTTTTAAAGAAGAAAGAGCTTAGTCATACAAAAAACACCTTTCTTTTCTTACTGGGAAAACGTAAGTACCAAAGAAATGTATCATTCAGGCGATATTTAAATAATTTAATTATCTTTCTTTTTTAAACTAAAATTATTATACACAATGTAGGAAATTAAGACAAAATTTCAAGTATCTTATACATTAAAAATAGGGTACTACATGAGTAGGTGTATCTGATTGTAATTATAATATACATTAATACTACGACCCTTACTGACATTTTATTTTCGCAACCCTCTCGTACCGTAAAATATTTTTAAAAGAATGTTCTGTTTTTATCGGTATTCTTTCATGCATATTTACATGTATTGTGTATAAGTATTTCGGTTTAGAAGTTTGTTTCCGCTTGCCTTACCGTACACCTACAAGATAAGTAGGTCATTGTTTATATTTAAAAAAAAAAATCATGTAAAAATTCTATATTTCTGTTTACAATCCAATGTTGTTAAATGTTGAATTGAGGTTATTTCATAGCTCTTTTCTAATGACATGTTCTTCACGACTGTGTGTATAATTTATTAACTGACAAACCCCAAGGTTCAATTGTTCACCCTTTGAAATAAGGGTGTGTTCTCCTTACGACAACAGTTCGTCGTATAATTAAATCAATTTTGTTTATTAAAACTTAATGGTCATGTAATTTATCTTGCTATATACAACCTTGAACAATATATAACAATAATATGATGTGAAATTTCTAATTTTTACTCGAAATTGGGGAATCCTACGTGTTAATGTGATTAAAGATTTTCAGAATTCTGGACGAGTGCAATCACTATAATAATTCTGTATATAAGAATAGGAGAAAGGAATTTGAAGGAAGGAAGAAAGAATTATTAATACTGTTTTCTAAAAGCGTTCGTGTATTAGTATTAAAACTTTAATCAATGAAATAGTCTCATTTTATATAATGTTTACAAGAATAAAATAAAATCAATTCTGTACATTCTAAAATCTATATTTGTGTATAATTTATAAAACGACTTAGCCCAAGGTCATTTGTTCACCACCCTTAAATTTGGGTGTTTTCTCCTTAAGACGATTTTTCGTCGTAAAATAATGAAACAATTTTTTCATCAACCTTATGGTGATGTAATTTATTGTTATTGCTCTTTTTGTAATTAATAGTACAAAAATTACTCATTGAAATATCTTTGGCCGGAATAGCTATGTGAAACTTGATTAAATTTTTTAGGATTCATGACCATCTATTACAGTTTTCTCTGTAAGAATACGTAAAATATATTGTTGCTAGATACTTAATGATAAAACGTGCCTGTCTCGTTGTATAAAAACCCTTGTTTCCTTGTTTAACCTGGGATGGTGATATCTTGTGAAATATTATTATAAAAATGAATGAAAATACAAAATATGTTTTAATAACTGAAATAATATTTAAGTTTAAAGATGTATTTTGTTGAGCGGATAGTTAAAAGTGTAAAATAAAATTAATTAGGCTTTGTAATAAATAATGGAATTAAAATGACTGAGGAAGTCAACCGAAAGTTCATGATATATTTCGAGGGAATCAGAGTGTAAAAGAGAATATGAAATTAGATCAAATGTTAAAACAAAAGGTGGTAATTGTATAAATTAGGGATTTACATGTTAGAGGTTGTAGAGTATGGGGTGCGTGTCGGGGGAAGAGATGAGGAGGGATATGGACCAAAGAGGCCGGAGTCCCCGGAGTAGTTATCGATCTGAAGGGGTTGAGGGGAAGGGACGAGACTAACCTTCCACAATCCTAGCTGGTTCCGGGACCTCCTGGAAGGCGTGCGAGGGCGTCTGCAGAGCGAGTCGACGCCACCGCAGAAGGTCCCGGTTCACACCAGCGGACGGGGACGCCACCGAGTGACGGCCGTTATCCCGCCCAGGCAATGACATCAAATTTTCTTACCATGAGTATTGTTGTCTGCGTCGGAGAAGGGTCCGCCCAACTGACCATCACCCGGTATCCAACTGTTATTGACTTCCTGGCCCGTGACTACTTTGAATCCAGGCTCCGGTTTCCAGCTGCAGGCCTTCTCGAAATCGCAGAAAGTACCGGACACGCCGTTGACGGCTATGGCCATACAGAGGGCCAAAACCCTAACAAGGACTAAAATCCGTCCTGACAACATATCTGGTCCGCGGCCATATTACCACTGAGTCCACTCCCGCAGCATCCCAGTGCCGCCCCCACTTCTGTATCGCACCCCCACTGCTTCCCCGCCTACTCATCATTACTCCCCCGCAAATCTTAACCGCGGATGCTCTGATTTAACAAATCCGGTCCGGCATAAGAAATGTTATTTAAATACATCGATCCACACGTGTTTGCCGGTGTCAACGTTGGTCAACGTTGTCCCAGTCGTGCTCAGTTCATCGAACACCTCGTTCCATCGATCACAGTAATTGGAATGAACGGTATCGTGTGAAAATGAATCGCGCTTAAAGGTCCTTCGGGGAGTACTATTTTCACTGGTCCCCTTTATTTATTCCTTATTAGTACTAACAAAATATAAGACAAATTATTTCATGAATAATTAGATTTTTATTTTACCCCTTAAATTATTTATTCATCACTAACCAAACTATTTTAGTTATTCTACACTGTGTATAAACAAAGTAAATGTAAATTTTTAACAATTGTACACCTTTTTGTAATAGAAATGAATTATTTAAACAAAATCCATACCCTTCAACTTTGGACAAACTGATCCAACTGACGTGCCCATAAAATATAACTAAATGAATTTTTTACGCAATAAACAGTTAGACACCTAATAATATTTATTAAACAGAGAATAATTAAATAATATCCAAATCATCAGTTTTTTAAAGTTTTTTCACATTTCAAAAGCGATTTAAATTTTTGGGAAATGACAAACTTATGATTTAACTCAAATAGTTAATATTTTTCATTTTTCTTAAATGTTTTTGAATGTTGAGACGTTTTACAAAAATTTTATATAATAAAGGAAATAATTTGCATTTTATATTATAATAACAAACGCTTTACCCACAAAAGTAAATTATGCAAAGTTTCACGCCAGCCTGCCCGGTTAATCAAGCATACATAAAAAATAATAGACGAAATTGTAAATTTTCCTGTCAAGCAATAATTCAAAAATTATTTTAAAAAATATTTTTTTAAACGTTGGATTGAAAGTAAACAAATATTTTGTAAAAAGGGTTTGTTTATTTTTATAAATTATTTATGCCAGTTGTTCTAAAATTTTAGAAGCTGGTCTGAAAGTTAGTCATGAGAGAAATAAAAACTAAGAATATACAAAAAGTAAAATTTTATAAGATGTCTATTGTCGTGCTGTTGTAAATCTTTTTTCGTCAGAATTACTTAATTAACTCGATATGAGGATTTATAATTAATTATTAATAAATTAATGAAATAATTAATTGTTAATTAATATTAATAAATTAATAATTAATAAAATTAATTATTTATAAAAACTGTAAATTTCAGTATTGTTAAAAAATAAAATGTATATCACATGCTTTTTTTCACCATTTCTATCAGTAATGATTCATGCCAGTTAGAAGTATATTTTTTCCAACCTTTCGATTATTTTTTATGGATGATCAGAAGTTAGGCTAGATTTAGAAAATGGGATACAACAGGATATTTGAATATGCATAGCACAGTTACGTAGTTTAGCTTGAAAAAAAGTTTTTGTTTAAAGTATGAACTGAATATTATTTCATAAATGTTATAAAGCGTAGAAGAATTTGTTGAATCAAATGTGAGAAAAAGTGACATTTTGTCCAACGATACCACCGCTGGTCTTGTTGCTATCGTGACACGTGTGTACTTCAAAATTGTGGTTACCTGTCTTTTTGAAGTTGTAAAGTTGTAAAAAATAAATCTGACATGCAACACAAAATAAGCCAATTAGTCAATATTTCGCCATCAGCTGTCTCACACCACACATTCACACTAATAAATACATTCACTTATTTGCACAGTCGGGTTGCATACCTACTCTGTATGTAAAGTCAAGGATCGACACTGCAATTATTTGGGCGAGTCGAACAACCTTTCTGGGCTTTGGCCCAAAAATAAATGTCCACATGTCAAACTGGCATGCCCCATTCTTAGTCGGGGGAAATCATTGTTTGACTTTAAAAAAATAAATATGCCAATCTGGGCTAGTTCAAGATCTTTCAAGAAGATCTACTAATCCCGCACGACACGCCGGTCGTGCAAAACAGTATAACCTTTTTTTGTTTTTAAGAAGTTTCGCCAGGTATGAATGAGCTGTACGAATTGAAAAAACGTTCACCCACAATCAATCGTACCTTCAATTTAATTAACTCCTTAATTTCCCAAAAACAAACTGTACGGATTGAGGTAACAGCCGGCGAGTAAAAGCATATGAATTTTTTGTTAATTGTAATAATAATAATAATGTGTTTTCAAAAACACCGGCACCCTGAGGGTTTATATGACCTCTGCTGTTGCGAACCCTCGTTAAAAAAAAAAAAAATAATAATGAATGAATAGTAATAATAATGAAGGGTTTAAATTGATAAATTGTTTAATGTAAATTATCACGATTAATTTTCGTCTGTCTGTTCTCGCTTGTTTTGGCCAGGGTATAAGTAGGGTGAGACATATTTCCCGTAATGAAGATAAGGAGGGTATCCGTCTAACAGCTGTTCAAAATCAAGGATTAGGAAGACCAAAATGATCGAACTCGACCAAACTACAAGTTCTTCACCCCGCAGACTCAATCAAGAAATCTAAAAATTTATCAACAAAGAATTATATAACCCAGCTGAAATATATGTATTATTTTAACAAATAAAAAGTAAATTATGAATGATAATGATATAATTGTGTATACAAAGACAGATTTACTTGAAACCGCCAGTGGAAACCCATAGAACCCAGTGGTTATTCCTTCGTTTGTTCTCAAAAGATGTTTATTGAAAATATTAATTATTTATTAGTACGTAAAATCTGAAGATAAATTTGCGACATGTTGCCATATTAACGTTTAGGAAAATGTAAGACTCAATTGCTAAGTCAGATCGCATTTTTTATAGCTACTATCTAATTAATCAAGTTGTATGCAGTGTTTGTTGCAATTGAGAGGTTTCGTTCTCACAAAATTAGTACATAGTTTATGGTTTCGCCTCCAGTTCTATGACGTTTGTGAATGTGAATTTAGGCTTAACCACATTTGCACTTGGCTCATTTATATTTCATTCTTCTTTAGAAGGGACGCGGTATTACATACCCACGTTGGTTTTTCTTTGTGCTTAACGAACAATTTTACGCGCAATTCTAGGAAAATTACACCACATAAAGCGGATAAAATAAATGTAATTCTTCTAAAATAATAAGATTAATCAGAAAATATTATTAAATTATATCAAATCAGTTATCAACTATAAGGAAACAAATTGTGTTTTTTTTTCTTTAAAATTCGCCTTGTCCTTGATTTGTTTAGTTTACAATAGTAATTTTAAGTCAGATATCAATTACATAAATCCTAATATCCTTCAATCCTCTAACAAACAAGGGCGTATTGACTATGGTACTAATTCATTAGATACTTCTGGTTGTTTTGCATGAATTGAATTCATCCAGTCTAAGTATAGCCATTTGTATCTCCATCCGTTTGTTAAGTTCACCTTTTAGCATGCTTTCCAGTGGACGATTTGTGATTCTGATCGAAAGGGTATGTTTTATTTTACAATTCATTCCAGTGGTTGGGTCATATAACCTCTTTCTATTTTCCTTTCTCTTTCTCCCCCTCTCTTTCTCTCTCTCCCATCCTCATTCAATTGCAGTCTATTGGGTTTTTGTGTAATAAGTACATTAATCGCTGTAAATTATAGAAGACTCAATCTGTTCCTGTGACGAAGTTCATTCAAACTGTACGACGTTTCATATTGAAATCAGAGCACTTGGATTTGTGATTTCGGCATAAGATGCTTCAAGACATTTTAAAACTTTTTGTATTATTATTTATTAAGCTTATTATAATATACAATTCACTTATTATTTTAGTCAATTTAAAAAAATCTGTTCATGAAATTAAACTACAAGTTTGTTAATCATTATACATTGAAACTACAAATTAATCCATGTGCACGCGCTGATCGGTCGCAATAAAATAAAATTAAAATACAAAATAAAATTAAATATAAAATAAAATAAAATACTAACTTGTTAACTGTGGCTTGATTTTCTCGACAACCAGGTAGGATAGCCGTTTAATAGCTAGAACCTGCAATAGCTCTGGCCAAAGGTAAAACAGAATCCTAGTCTATTAATTACCTTCGGGGCTCCGTCCGAACCCTGTATGATGTGTCGCATTAAGGATGCGGGAGGAGACACTCGCGTTATTTTGAACGCGATAATTAACAAAACGAAAAAAATGCGTCTTGAAAATAAGAGAAAAACTGAAAGAAAACTAAAAGAAAATCACTCTTGGAGGCTAATTAATAGTGGACTGTATGGAAGCGAGACGGAAGCGAACAGGACTAGAGCATGACTAGGCAGCAACAGGACAGGATTGTGGGGAGGGAACAGAGCTAGGATAAATTCTAGATTAGCGGCATTTCGGAAACAAAATAAACAATTATAATTCGCGATTTTTGGCGCGAACAATCTAAATTAAGTTATTAGGAGATTATTAACGTGATATAGTTTACATTAATCAAATTTGGGAATAATTTACTATTTGCTAATGTTTTTAAATTATTTTTGATAAAATCTCTATATCAGTCTTGCAAATTAGTTATAGTATTAAGCGTGTGGCATGAAAGTCTGGCAAAATAAACTGAAACTCCTTCTTAACTAGCACCTTTCTACTTACCTTAGCTCCTACCTCACAGCTTGATTTTTCCTAGTTAACCAAAGATCGGACTACTCCGACTACTATCTTGTGGGAGCGGAAGTGCCACAGGGCAATGTGATCGGACCAACACCACTTCAAACATCCCAACTTGGGACAACCCCCTTGCAACCTTTACCTATGACACAGATGTACTTTCCTCTGATCCCAGTTGCTTCGGAAGAGCTCCAGGCACCACGTTCAACGAATAGCCGAAGGGAGCAAACTTTGAAGGATGAATATTAATGAAAACTGATGCACCCATGTTAAATTTACCCTCCGAAACAAAACCCAACATTCCTATCCTTAAACCGACTG